TTATATCAAGTGGACAAACCAGATAAACGAGAGCTGCCCACTCGTAACACATGTAGGGCCTGTTATCAGCTTTGAAGAAGACGTGGAGTTTCCTTAGGAAATGTCAAAAGAGCATAAAATTGCAATTTCTTTCTCTGGGAGCTTCTGGTGCAGTGTGTAAAGCCTGGCTGTGCCCAGCTCCCAGCTGGTGCAGGGGTGGCACCGTGCTCAGGAACTGCACCTTGGTCACCCCTGAACCAGGGAGCCCAACGACACCCCGAGAGCTGAAATTCCGAGCGGGAGCCATTCCAGGGGGGGAACCACTCCCACACCTCTCTGCTCCCTTCTCCTGCACCTTCCTGGGCACTGAGGAGGTGAAGAAAATCAGGTTTTTTTGCAAGATCCTGGCAAAGTGCGCTGCTTCAAGCAAGGAATAAACAAAAAACTCCCCCGAAGCTGCAGGAAAAGCTGTGAGGAAGGGCTGCATTCCAGCAGGACAGCACCCCTGGGAATGCTGCTCCAGGGAAGCTGCTTTCCAAGTGATGCAAAAGCCCAATTTGCCCCATCTGTAAAAGATTTAGCAGCATCTGCAGCGAGGTTTTGTATTACTGAGCTTTTCTTTCTATTTAAACAAGAGGTAGGCTTCAGGTTTTGAAACTGCTCTGTAAACTTAGTTTCTAAATCCACTGACCAAGGCACACTTAATTTTGCAGCGCATTAATATTGCTTCAGAGTGACTCACTGAACTCAGGAGCAAAGAGATGAACACCAGCTCCCAGTCATTAACACAAAACAGTTTCTATCCCAGTGTAAATTGCCTGAGGCCTCATTAACATAAAAGAAAAAGCCAGAAAGCTGTTTCCCGTTTTCTAAAAGCAAACAGAACTTCAGTTCTAATGTATGGAAAATTCTCTTTAAAGAGCAGGGGGGGACAGGGAACAAAGTGCTCTAACACAGCACTAGAGACCCATTTAAATATTGAATTGTTTCCAGTCGTGGTGTGCTATTTCAGAAGATGAACCTGTGGTTCCTGCACTCCTTTCCACACAGCAACAAGGACTGAGAGCCTAACTCTTGGTATTATGCAACTCTCTGACAGCATCTGGGGTTTTCTGGATGATATAAACACAATTATAGCTACAGGAAAAGGAGCACAATAAGAAGTGAGACTTAAGGTCTGTTCCAACACTGAGATTTATGGAGTGGACAGGAAGCTACTTTCAGGCAAAAAAAAAGAAAAAAAAAAAGTTTTTTTTTCTTTTCTCCAAAGAGATTTTAAAATAGAGGAAGCAACCTGAAGCACTGGGAAAGGGTATTTTGAACACAGTAAACTTGTTCACTTTATACAAGTATAATTGAATACTAATATTTTTATTTTTTCAATATATTTTATATTGAAATATATATAATATATATAATATATATTGAATATATAATATATATTGATATATAATATATATTGAATATATATAATATATATTGAATATATATAATATATATTGAAATATATATAATATATATTGAAATATATATAATATATATTGATATAATATATATTGAAATATATATAATATATATTGATATAATATATCGAAATATATATTATATATATTGAAATATATATAATATATATTGATATAATATATATCGAAATATATATAAAATATATTGATATATATATAATATATATTGAAATATATAAAAATATATTGAAATATATATAATATATAGTGAATATATATAGTATACATATTCAACATATTTTATTTTATTCAATATAAATGAATAAATAACTGTTGAAACTGAAGTAATATTACAATTTTAAATGGACATTAAAAGGCAAGACCAGGTTCACAGGGAGAGATGCTTGTCCTTATTACAATGCCCAGCACTCCAATACACAGGAAAAAACATAAACTACAGGAAAAACAAGGACACAAGTCAGGGAGGGGAATTCCTGCTATGCTGGAAGCATCAGTTAGAGGTGATCTAACAACTGCTCTGGGGGCAGCAAATATATCCCAGGAGTTTCAAATTCCACCCCAGCACACGGAGAGCTGCTGGCTCCAGGTGGGGTGTGAAGAGATGCCCCCAGAGAAGGCAGCGAGGAAGAAAGAGGAAAGATTGGGCAGGGAGGAAAGCAAAGGAGCACAAGGGGTGTCTGGAACCCCCAGCTCAGCAGCTCCAGCCTGACCCAGAGGGAAGCAGGGCCAGTGCCAACCACCGAGGGCCTGAGACCAGCAGGGAGAGGGAAACTATTTTAAGCTTTGTCATCTGCATGCATGGATTCCCTCTGCTAAATGCCAGATGCAAAATGTTTGTCTCTGAGCGTGCAGGAGGATCAATTATTGCAGACTGGGTTACAGTCAAATTACAAGTTTACAAATGGAGGGGCTTTTTCCCTGCAAGTTCTTGTCCTTTCCTGTTATGTAGCAAAGGATTTGCCTCGAACGTCCAGAGTTCAGAAGCACTTAAATCTGAACTAGAAGTTAAATCAGCCCACGAAGGGAAATGCATTTTTGCTACTATGTGGGAATTAAATAGGCAGATAAAATTCTGATTTTTAACCACTGACACTGATGTGTTTAATGTAACTGCTGGGGAAAATCACCGGCATGATTTAGGATCGTGTAATCCCCTAATAAAGTTCAGAGGTTTGAACTCCACCTTTTTCCCCAACATATACCTGCACTTCCCATAAAACTATCACTCCTCCAAAGAAATTTGGCAGCTGAGGCAGGATATAAAGTCCACAACACTTTGGGAACAGAGAGAGCTCTGAGACCACAGTCAGACAATTCTTTCCCCAGCCCTGGGTGTTCCAACCCCTCTCAGGGCAAATTACAGCCCAATTTGTCCAATATATGCAAGTTAAACTAAATGCTCTCAGAGTTTCAATCTTTAATTTGGTCTTAAAAGGTTTTTTTTTTTTCTCCTGGGCAGCACTTAAATGTATCAAAACGTGAGTAAACAGATTAGCAAGGTTTCCTTTAATTAGTCACACACAATCAAAGTCTTCAGCCAGGAAGGCTCGGTAAAGCTGTTACCACAGTTACTATCAGCAAACAAGGAGAAAAACACAGCAAACCCCAGAATTTCTCTGGCTCTATATTCCAAATAAGTGGACAAAGCAAAGCTGGGACTTCTCTGCTGCTGAACCTCTGCCCAGCCACCAGATTAAGCAGTTACATGACTTTTCCTTCCACGTATGGAAAGGGCAGTGCAGGCTCCTGCCAGCAGGAAGCCAGGCTTGGGCTGCAGCATCCCTGGGAACGGGCTTTTGGATGTGAGGAGCTGCACAGCTGGAGATCTGCAACATCTCCCACTGCTGCAGGCACTGGCCAGTTTTCAGGGGTTGCAATTTTCATGCTCAGGAGGCAGCAAGAGCCAGTTCTGACTCGAAGCTTTCCCTGCCCTTTCCTCCCACCTCCAGCTTTCCTCACAATCTCCAGATGAAACCCTACAGCATATCCCTGACAGAAGAAGGGGAAAACAGCACTAACCTTTGATTAGCTTGGTATTTTATACTCCATAATTATCAAGCATAGGTTACAATTTCATTTAATTTCGTCTCAGTTATGAGGACTTGACAAATTATGTCAAAGGGTATTCTGACTGTATTAATGTCCTCACACGAGAGGGAACTGCAGGTTAAATTTCAACAGAAGAGATAATTGCTTTACACTGGAAGGGAGGCAGTAAAAAGCCTCTGGAATGGAGCTGCTGCATTCCTTCCCTGTGCTCCATTACACGCATTTCACACTGAAATATTAAAGTGAGGCTTGTTTGGGTAACAAATTCTGACCACACAGAATGAGAAAACAGATCCCAGGACAGAGGAGAAACAAATCTCTTTCAAAACAGGAGCTAAACCTTTCCACCTGATCCACAGTTTTGAGAGGGTGAAGATATACCTTCGAAATGAAAATATTATTTAAATGCAAAAACAATTAACAACAAACATAAGCAGAGGACATCCCTCTACTTCCCCAAAAGGTGTTTGGAATCAAGCTACAGAAGCTTTTGCTGGAAAACCAAGCCCTGCAGCTCCCAGGCCTGCAAGCTGCCATTCCTCTTTTGAAATAGCTGGGAATTTTAAACATTATGAGCAGTGACAGCTCAGCTTGAAAAAGCCTTCAATATTCAACCCTGCCACAACTCATTGCTTCAAAAATTGACCCCTTCCATCATTTATAGCACTGGGGTTTTTTCCACCTTACTGAGGCTGAGTGCCAACCAGGTTTCCTAGCAGTATTACCATATATTTTTCAAATTTTCCAGGCTTAATATCAACACAACAAACTGGCCAGAGAGTACCACAGACCACACCACTTCAGCCAGTTTTCCTGCACCACAAACAACCCCTGCAAGAAGAGGCTCCAGCACCATTGTCCCTTGTCCCATCACGTGTGCTCACACCACCACCACCACATCACCTGCACTGATGTGGCTTAAACTTGACTTTTTTTTGAGCAGTTTTAGCTGGTTTCTGCCTCACTGGAAGGCTATACTGATGCTTGTGCCAGCAAAGGGAAAGAATAAGTGTGGGGCTCAGCAGTGCCAGCTTATGGTGGCTCAGTCAATACAAAGCCACGGGTGCTTTTCACTCTGTGTGACGTTATTCTCACTGAAAGACTAATCTGGGAGCCCTCCTGGTGAGCAGAGTTCCTGCTTTAAGCAGCCCTTCCCTTGCTAAAGGAGAACAAAACCAACAAAGGAATTCTGAGACAGGTTCTGCACAGCAGAAACACGTGGTTCTTTTATGAGGAAGGATGGAAACACGCAGGTAACTCTGCGTTTCAACGCTGAAATGCTCCTTGCAGCAGCTTCCCAAAATGAATTCCAAGGCACAGGTGATAATACAGCATTTATTATGTAATCCTGCTGATATTAAGATGGGATTCTGAGCCAGTAATAAGTCTTTGCCTCCCAATTTCACCCTGGATACAAGTGCTCTGCAGAACTCACAACAGCAGAACTGATGTCATTTTTGCCTCTTATCCTGGTACTTACAAACATACCTTTAAGGCCTCTATGACAAGATCTCTTGCTTCTAATTCTCCCTCTAGAATGCTAAAGAGTGTCAGTAGTTCTGGTTTGCTGAGTTTTTCCAGATTCATCCTGAAAACCTGGAAAAAAAAGAAAAATGGAACAGAGTTTAGTTTAGGTGTTTCTTTGGACATTAAAATCAGTATTCTAAGCTGTGACATATAATCTCCATTTAACTTCAGCTTCCAGATTTTGGATTGCAAATTGCCCTGAGGGGGGGGAAGGGAACAATAAACAAGGGGATCATTTTCTCTCCAGCTTCCAAGACCAGTTGTAGAAGATGCATTGCCACCTTTTCCCAGGGGACACGAACATATGCACACCCAGATGGTGAGGGCAGAGTGTGCAGGCTAAAATGACAGGATGATATTCACCAAGAAGTAGCCAAAGTTAACAGGAAAGGGGGGGAAAAAACATGGATATTTAAAAGCTGTAAATGACACATCTGGATCATGCAGCTGCAAACATCACTGAGGAGCTGTGATGAATGAAGGCCAAGCTGGGCCACCCACACAAGCTCCATGGTGAAGGGAATATTGCAGTGCTGAGATATGTTTCCTAGGAATGCCATTATCCATTCCTAATGGAACAGGCCCAAACCACTTTACAAAAATCAATGCCACGGAAAATACACATTTAATTACCACTATTTCCAACTGTTTCACTATCACCATCATTTATTAAATACAATTTTACTGCCTGCATAAGAACAGAGATCCATCATCTGAACTGCACTTAAAGAAGCTTTTTATTCCCTTGCATCTTTGCTGCTACACTTAACGCTGGCCAGTAATAAGCCTTTTCATTACATTATTTTGTTAAAAATGGAAATAATTGCAAGACTAAATCCTTGTCTGTAATGCAGATATATCCATTGAGACAGTCTTGTGCTTTGCACAACCGTCAAATGCACTTTTCCGAGTTCAGGTTTCACCAAACTTCATGTCAGTAAGAAAATGCTACAGCATGAAGAAGCTTCTCAGAGACTTCAAACTCCAGTGGCAAGTGATAAAGGGTTAAACTGGCCTTTACTGGAGAAGCCTATCCAGCTAAAACATTCAGCTGAAGCCTAATTTGTCTGAAGTCACTGCTCCTTTACAACTGATTTGCATAACTGTGCCTTGGAGAGTTATACACAAAAGCAAGTTCTGTCTTGTTTGTGCCAGAGCAGTTTTCCAGTCACTGGGAACAGAAAGTTCTGCTCAGGGAGGAGCAAGCAGCTTCATACAGCAAGAGAAATCAGAAATGTGCTCCCTGCCCCTCTGCTAAGCAGGGAAGGCTCTCATCACACGCTTCATGCAGTGTTTTACATGAAATTCCATAAAGCAGCAACATTTCTTACTCTCAGGCTCTTCTGGCTCACCCTCCCACTGCCACGGGCTGCTCAGGAAGCATCAGTGGGAGTGCCCACGACTGGCTGTTCCAAACCCAACCTAACTGGACACCGTGGATCTGTCAGCATTGCATCCACACATTCCAGTGGAGTGTTTGGAAAACCTCTTCAATCTGTCATCATGTTAAAAAAGCCTGATCTGGAGCTGACACAAGGGTGTCACTTAGGAAACTCGCTCTATTGACTCAAATCACACTTTGGTGGGCCAGGATAGTGCTGGTCACTGTTTAGCAAGAGTTACACCTTCTGAGCAGCCAACACACCTTGAGTGGGCCAGGATGGGATGACCATCAGCTTCAGGAATGGCTGGATAGTTCTGTCACCACGAGAATCCTGCCTAGCTGAGAGCACAGGGAAAGAGTGTGATTTACAACTTGTTTCTCTTAAAAAGGGAGAGAATGCAACAGAAGCAGCAAATTAATGCTAAAATGTAACTAAGCAGCCATACAGGGTGAGGAGAGAGGGCTTGTTTTTAGCCTTTAATATTTACTATGCTTAAGTCTGAGCTGCACCACTTCCCTGGGCAGCTTTTAAATGTGGAATATCCAAACATCTGCTCAGGAGAGGCACCTCAGTCCTTGCTCAGGCTAAATTCACAGGTGCTAAGACTGAATCTGTACTGAGGGGAAATAACTTTTTCTGCCAGATACTCCCCAAGTTATATTGGTTTTCTGGCATTATAAACCAGAACTAAAAAGGAGAAGTTTCCTTTGAGATCTTGGAACAAAATGTAATTCTGTCACCCCAGGACAGCAAGTGTAGAACATGGACTTCCAACGTGACTCTATCCAGGCTTTTCCCTTAAAAAGGGATGACATAGAAATGTGCAGCTGCATCTCTCCAAGAGCTACCAAGCAGCTCACTCTTACAGCAGGGGCAGCTACCAGCTGCAGTTTGGCGTTTAAAAGCTATTAGTCCGGGCAGTAATAATTTCTACTCTATATCCTAAATACTCCCATTGTGACTTGTACTTCCCAGTGTTATAGGAATAAGCCCTGCTATTCTTACCATGCCTCTGTAGTCTTTAATCAGCTTAATAACATAAACAAGCCCTGGCCTAAAATATACAGGTAAAAATACTTAAGAGAAATAAAGAGCAGGAGCCAGTTTGCAACGGCAATCGTTTATACAACAACAAGAGGTAACATTAAAGGTATAGAAGTGGTGCAGCCTCAGCTTCCTTGTGTGCAACCTGCTGCTTTTGGACCTCTAACTGCTCTGCTGGCATCACTTACCCCACACTGAGGGGACAGACTGGCAGCAGAGGCTACAAATAAGGTCACTGCCCTAAAAAAAACCCATTAAAATGCATCTGTATTCTGCAGGGGTCCACAGGGAGCTTCTAGAACCCACCTGGCAGATTCCTGTTATGCTGAACAGATCACAACCCCAAGTGTTCCCTTTCAGGGCCACTCGACCCCAGGGAGCTGAAAACTTGGGGGGGAGAAGAAAGTTCTGTTCATTCTAAGCTGTTATTTTACAAGAACAAGAAGCATCTCTGGATCAAAGAGCTAATAAGCACATATTTGAGCTCCTCCTCCCCCTGTCCAAATCTAAACCCAAATCCATTCCCAGCCCTTCAGCATCACAGGCTCCTGAGCTGACCATTCCAAGGCTGCTTTCAGGCTACACATCCCTGGTGTCTTCCCTCTTCCCACTTTTTAACAAAAGATCACACCAATCCTATTCAATCACCCAGTTCTCCCCCTTGCAAACAGCTCCCTTCTGCCAAAGGGATCTGGATGCCTCAGCTGGGGAACCTGACCCTCTGTTTCCAAACCTTTAACCAGGAGATAGGGTTTCCCAGCATCAGAAACAAGATCTAGCAATTCCCAGGGCACATCACCCCTTCCCATCCAGGGAAACAGGCTGAGTGGAATCAGAGAGCAAACCACAAGGACTTCATTATTTAGTCTGATGGTATAAATATTTTCCCTGAGCCTGAGATATAGCACCATTTTTGGACAATAAGCCCGAGTTTAGAGCACAAACAAAGATAATTACTTATTGCTTGCCTAAAGGTGAGCTTCCTTTCAGCTATGGACCATCAGAGTCTCCCCAGCAGACCGTGAGTGGAGATAAAACTCTTCTAAGAAAGTTATTTCCCAGTATTTAACTGAAAATACCCATCAAGAGCAGTTGAAATGTACGTACAACCACCCAAGCCAACAAACCAGGGGGAGTTATCTTTGGCATGTGCCACTTGAGGAACAAAACAGATAAGCTCCCAGAGCGTGGCAGCTCCTCCTCGCCCTGAATCACGGCGAGGTGATTATGAAACCAGTCCAGGTTCCATTTCACTTGTCTCACACACATACGAGCACGAACCAAGCGAAAGAATGTTGCCAGCACAGGGGAACTTCACCCACCCACTTGCAGCAAAGGTTGGAGGCAGAGGGCAGCAATCAAAGATCAGCCCGAGGCACAGAGAGGGGAGTTTGTCAGGTGGAAGCTTCAAGATTATCTGCAAGCTCTTGGCTCAAAACTCTTCCACTTAAAATGATATAATGAAGAACAAAGCTTGTTGTTCCTTTTCCCTCCGAAACAGGGTATTTCCAAAGCTGTGCCAACGCAACAATGCCTCTATGTCCATAACCCTGATTCAGCTTCCCTTTCTCTTGCCTGTCCCCGAAGAGGAGCTGATATTTTCCAGGACCCAGCACGGGCAGTCGTGTAATCGCATTCCCAGGAGAACCCAAATGACTAGTTTGGGAACTCCTGATAGACAAGTTCCCCGAACTGCTGCTGCGTGTGTAGCGTGATGTTCGAGTCGTTACAATAATTACACGATATGTTTATGTAATAGGAAAAAAAAAAGCCAGGATGCACTTTATAATTGTGCATCCACGGTGCTACCTGGCGTTGCATCACAACTGTGGAGGATTAGGTTAAAATGAGAAGGGTTTATGTGTCTATCTCACAGGAGAAAGGACATCTACCCCCCCCCAAAAACATCCTCGCACTGTTATTTTTTTAAGTACTACTGGGAAAATAAGCACATCAGCAAAATTTTGAGCGTGTGCTTTGTGCGAGTCCTTGAACAGCCCCCGTGCAGCTCCTTGAAAGAGAATCAAAACCATCGCTGACCTTCAGCCCCCCCAGCCCGGGGGGAGCCTCGTCCCCTCCTGCCACACGATCGCTGGTGACCCCGGCACAGGGACGGGACGAGGGTCACCCCGGGACACGGGGCAGCTCCAGCGGCACATCGCGGGCACCGGCACCCCGGGAGGGGGCGGCTCGGTGCCTCCCGAGCAGCACAACCGGGCCGGTGCAACCGAAACAAAGGGAAACGCCGCCCCGGAGCCCGAGCCCGCCGCCGCCCGGAGCCCCCCGAGCTCCCCCGGCACCGGGGGCGGCACCGCGGGTCCCGGGGGGGCAACAACCCACCCCGCCGCGCCAGGCCCGGCCCAGCTCCCGGGAACGCCCCCCGCTCTCCCCGCGGCCTCCGCGCCCCGCGGTACCGCCCAAGCCGCGGCCGCGGCCGCCCCCGCCCGCAGCGGCCCCGCCACCGCCCCTCTCTCAGCCCGCGCCGCCCCGCACCTGCCGCTGCCCGCCCGCAGCCGCAGCGCCGCGCCAGGACAGGCCGGACCGAGCGGGACCGAACGCGGAGCCCGGGGCGGGACCCGCTTTGCCCCGCACCGACCTGCCCTGCCCCGCACCGACCTGCCCCGCGCCGCCACTGCCGCCGCCGCCGCCGCCGCCGCGCCGCTCCGCTCCCCATCGGCCGCCCCGCCCCTTTGCCCCGCCCCTCCTTGATTGACGGCGCGCTCGCCAATCACCGCTGCGGCCGCCGGGCCCTAGGACCAATCCGCCGCGAGGGAGGCGGGGAGAGGGCGGGGCGCGGTGACAACAGCCAATCAGACGGAGTGGGCGGGGCGCGGAGGGCGGGGCGGAGGGTGAAAATCCCTTTTGTTCGCGGCGGAGCGAGCGGGCGGCCGTGATTGGCGCGTCACTTCCGCCGCGGGCGGGGTGGAGCCGCCGCGGGCGGGGCCGGGGGCACCGCCCGAGCCGCCGCCCCCGCGCTGAGGCGACGGGCCGGGCGGGGACCCGGGAACCGTGCCCGGGCGGCGGGAATGGGGTGTATAAAAACTCATCGAAAGGAGCCCCGTAGAGCCCCTGCTTGGGAGCGCGGCGGTGCCTGAGCTGGAGGGGGGTCCGGGCAGGAGTGCGCCCCTCAGGGAGCCCGTGGCATACCGGAGCCCCTCACAGCCCTTCATGGTGCCCGTAACGGACCAGTGCCCCTCAGCCCCTCATGGTGCCCGTGCAAGGGCGGTGCGTTTCAGAGTCCCTCCTGGTGCCTATGGCAGACCGGTGTCCCCTCACAGCCCCTCGCAGTACCCATGGCAACAGTGCCTGTCAGTGCCCAGGGCAGAGCAGAGCCCTTCGTGCTGCCCAGTCCCACTCCCCTCACAGCAGTTCTGAGCTGTGCTCCCCTCGTGGTTCCCAGGACAATCCCACTCCCCTCATGGTTCCTGCGACAGTCCCATTCCCCCCACAGCAGCTCTGGGCCCTGCTCCCCTCACTCCTCCTGGTCCTGCCCTTCATGGTAGCCCAGCTCCAAGTTGGCCTCACTCTCGAGACTGATGGTTTGCCCGAGGGTGTTTATAATACTTATGTTTTCTTTGGGAAGGACCATTACACCACGGCGTGACTCACCTGGGCACATCCCTTACAGCCTGTCACAACTTCCCTCTGATGAGCTTTCACAAGCGCCGAGCGACTCCCCTGCATGGAGGTGCTGTGGAAAAATCAGTGTTTAGATTTATTTACCTGTCAGCTGAGGAAAGAGCCCTGAATGCGCTGGAAACGGTTGCTGGAAGGAATGTTGCCCATGGATGCCTCAGCTGGAGCGGGGTCACTGACACTGTTGAGGGCAGCAGGATTTTCGCTGCCGGAGCTGCTTACCCAGCACTTTGCTAAGCCAGAACGAGAACCGACCCTTCCTGTGGAGAACGTGGCAAATCATTCCAGCTCTGACCTTCCACGGGATGTGCTCACTCGGCACCGCTATCGTGCTCAGTTTTAATGAGCTGAAAACAGTTTTTAATGGCTTTTCCCACTGCTAGGACTGTCTTAAGCTGTGCTGGGGGAGGTTTAGGTTGGACATTAGGAAGAATTTCCTCACAGAAAGGGTGATTAGATGTTGGAAGGGTGGTGGTGGAGTCATTGTCCCTGGAAGCTTTTAAGGAAAGACTGGATGTGGCCCTCAGTGCTCTGGTCTAGTTGACAAGGTCGTGTTTGGTCATGGGTTGGACTTGATGATCTCAGAGGTCCTTTCCAACCTCGTTGATTCTGTGACTGTGTGAGTGTGATGGTGGGGAAGCGCTGGGAACACATGGAGCTGCAGCACAGGGCCTGTGACACATGCCACGAAACCAGCAGTGTCCAAATCCACTGCAAAAAGGCGTCACATGGTGACAGGACTTTACATAGAGACAATGCCACCTCTAACCATTGCAGTCTCGTGTCTAGGATGTTCAGAGGATGGTTTTGTCTAGACAGGCTGTCTGAGCATTATTTCCCAGCCTCAATAAATACTGGAAGTTTTGCAGCGCCTCTGGTGTCGCTGTCTCAGAGCCCAAGGGGGAAAAATGCACATGGGTTACCTCTCCTGAGCCATGCCAGGCTGGAAGTGCCCTTGTGGCACTGCCACAAGCAGTTGGTATATTAATACCTGTAATTGTAATTACCTTTCTCTCACCCTGGGCTTCTCCCATCTCTCTGCTTTTCACCTGTTGTCTCTTCTTTTGTCCTTGAAATACGGTTTTAGGGCAGACATCCTTTAATCATACACCTGAAAAATGGTGATAGCTCCCGTCACAGGCTTCTCCTCACTGCCTAAACACCCTCACTAGGACACGAGGGTGCTGAGTGAAGCCCTTGGAGAAGGAAGGATGGGCTGGAGAGGGTGTAAGAGGAGGGGGATGCTCTGGGAAGTCCGGGTAGAACCAAGGGAGGAGGTGGCTGCTGGCAGAGGGAGATGGGCTGTCTGCAGGAGGGTTGCTCAGAAAAGGGGAAGGGGGCTCATGGGGTGCTGCAGATTAAGGAAGTTGGACAAAGCAAAAGCTGACTTAACTCACCACATCCTGCGAGAGCAGGACGTGCAGCCTGCCAGGGAGACCTGTGAGCTGGCTGTAAACTGGCACAGCATCTCATCTTCCTGGAAAAAAAGGGCTTTGAGGGAAAAGCGGGTAGGGACAAAGATCCACGTCGGGCGTGATGGTCAGTGAGGGATCGATGCTCGCACATCACTGCAGTGAACATCCATTCCCAGCACAGAACATTCCCAGAACACGCAGACCGTCCCCACCACCTGCACTTCTGTGTTGACTTTGGGCTCAATCACCGTTTGAAATCCCAACCAATCCAGGTTTGCAGCCCCAAACCGCTCCGAGCCCCGGCAATCCGGCGTGTGGAACACGGGTGGGTGGGATCTGCTCCCTCGTTCGCGTGGCTGCAGCTCCCCCGCGTGTCCGCAGCACTCGCTGCTCAACGGGGGCTCGGATTTTCCAAGAATTGCTGCGCTGGAACTGTTTTTCCAAGTCCCACAAATTACAGCTGAAAGGTTATTGACATTTACATCTCGAGCAGCGAGGGAGGGGTTGTATTTCCCTGTGTTTCCACGTTGGCACAGATCACCGGCGGGATCATCTGCTCGCTGGTCATTCCTGCTGCGAACATTCCTGACGCTGCCCGGTGCCACTCCTGGAAACACAGGAGAAAGGAGACCTTTGTGTGGAAAGAGCTTTGCGTGAGGCTGATTGATTGGTGATGAATTGAGCCTGGAAAGGTCACGGATACATGAGTTACATCAGGGAACATCTGGCAGCAAAAGCTTCTCTGTTCTGGGGCTTGGGGAGGACACTTGGTGAACCCACAGCAGCTGAAGAGCAAACATCTGAAGGGACTGGGAGTCCTAAACGTCCTAGGTGGTCTCAGGGATGGCAAATAAACAACTGCAGCCTTGAAATCCAGAAAATTAGTGCAGATGAGAGAAAAAAATCATTTCATAGCTGAGCCCATACAGAAAAAATATATTTAAAAATAAAGAATATATTCAGGTGCCCACGGGTCTGCATTTGGGGGGCAATAAATTAGCTGTACAGGAGAAGGAGGAGGCTTTCCAGGTCTGGAAGACGTTTCTTTCCAGGCTGTTTGGTCACTTTATATTTGTATATATTTTTTAACATGCAGTGCAGGCCCTGGCACTGGTTGCCCAGAGAAGCTGTGGCTGCCCCACCCCTGGAAGTGTCCAGGGTTGGGTGGAGCTTGGGGCAACCTGGGCTAGTGGAAAGTGTCCCTGCCCATGGCAAGGGGCGGAACTGGAGGATCTTTAAGGTCCCCTCCAACCCAGCCATTCCATGATTTCTGTGATCAGCAGGAGTGTCAGATACAGGCAGAAAAAGGAGGTGCCTGCCTGTGATTGCCTGCAGGGTGGATTTCTGGTGCAAGGACACAAGAGAGGCGTGCAAGGTGAGGGCACGTCCAGATGGCCCCAACACCTGCACGTCCATGAGGACAAGCACAAGGGTGTGCAGGTGCTTCTGGTTCCCTGTGTCTGGTCACAGCGTGGGACAGGAGTCAAGAGAAGAGCGAGGGGCTCTTGGGGGGCTGCAGGTCCTGCAGGGTGAGAGTGGGAGGTCTTGGCTCTTTGGGATCCCAAAGGAGGAACCAGGATGGGGTCCAGCCCCCTCAGCAGCACTGAGCAGGCTCACAACCCTCTGGAGAGCATTAACCACCAAAAAAAGCTTCCAGGAGGGAACACATCAGAGAGATTCCTCCTGATGTATCACAGAGATAAACCACAAACACAAACAATTAGAAAGAAGCACATCTGTCATGTTCTTGATGTTGTCGAAACGAGAATCCATCTGGGAGAAGAGCCAGCCCTGCCTCCCTGGGAGTTATGTATTTTTTCTTTTTAAATATCAGACGACATCCATCTCTAGAGCTGCGTGTTGTTTGTGCTGGCAAGGGGGGTGTGGATTTCTGAAGGCTCCCCGTATTAACACAAGATCTATAGTCTCATTCTAGAAATTTTGTGGCTATAAAAATATATTCTGGGTTTGACTGAGTGGTTTTTCCTTCCCTCCTGAAACTCCAGAGCTGTGTAAAATAGCTTCATAAAACTTCTGGGGCTTTTTAAAGCACAAGTTACTGCCTTGCCTTGCTTTTAAAAGTGCACCCTTGGTTTTAAGTGTTGGGGTATTGTTTGCTTTTAAACAAGTGAATGCTGAAG